ATCTGGAGCTGGGGATTGATAATTCACAGCGCTTTGCACCCCATTCAAGACACTATCACAAATTTGTGACTAATATAAGTGTAATTAGGTAGTAGGTTGGTAGACAGCAACCACCCAGGGAGGTACTACTGTCCTGCCAAGTGAGTGTAAAACGAAAGCCTGTAATTGTTTTACATGATGGTAGGATTACTGGTGTCCTTTTTTCTGTCTCATAAACATGCAAGATTTCAGGTACGTCTTGCTACTTCTACTTACACTTAGGTCACACTACACATACATGTACAAGCATATACATACATACCCCTCTGGGTTTTCTTCTATTTTCTTTCTAGTTCTTGTTCTTGTCTATTTCCTCTTTATCTCCATGGGGAAGTGGAACAGAATTCTTCCTCCATAAGCCATGCGTGTCGTAAGAGGTGACTAAAATGCCGGGAGCAAGGTGCTAGTAACTCCTTCTCCTGTATATATTACTAAATTTGGAAGGAGAAACTTTCGTTTTTCCTTTCGGGCCACCCCACCTCGGTGGGATATGGCTGGTACGTTGAAAGAAAGAAAGAAACATGCAAGATTTCAGGTACGTCTTGCTACTTCTACTTACACTTGGGTCACACTGCACATACATGTACAAGCATATATATATATACATACCCCTCTGGGTTTTCTTCTATTTTCTTTCTAGTTCTTGTTCTTGTCTATTTCCTCTTTATCTCCATGGGGAAGTGGAACAGAATTCTTCCTCCATAAGCCATGCGTGTCGTAAGAGGTGACTAAAATGCCGGGAGCAAGGTGCTAGTAACTCCTTCTCCTGTATATATTACTAAATTTGAAAGGAGAAACTTTCGTTTTTCCTTTCGGGCCACCCCGCCTCGGTGGGATATGGCTGGTTACGTTGAAGAAAGAAAGAACTTGCAAGATTTCAGGGTACGTCTTCTACTTCTACTTACACTTTGGGTCACACTGCACATACAGGTACAATGCATATATATAATATACATACCCCTCTGGTTTTCTTTAATTTTCTTTCTAGTTCTTGTTACTTGTCTATTTTCCGGCTTATCCCATGGTGAAGTGGCAACAGAAATTCTTCCTACATTAGCCATGCGTGTGTAAGAGGTGACTAAAATGCCAGTCGGGACATCAGGTGTAGTAACTACTTCTCCTGTTTTTATATTACATAAATTTTGAAAGGAGGAAACTTTGTTTTTCCTCTTCGGGCCACCCCGCTCGGTGGGATATGCTCGGTACGTTGAAAGAAAAGGAAAGAAACATGCAAGATTTCAGGTAGTATTGCTAACTTCTACTTACACTTGCGGTCACACTGCACATACATGTACAAGCATATTTATTATTATTTATACCCCTCTGGTTTTCTTCTATTTTCTTCTCTAGTTCTTTGTTCTTGTCTGTTTTCCCTCTTATCCCATGTGAAAGGTGGAACAGAATTCTTCCTCCATAAGCCATGATTTACCACGTGTCATAAGAGGCGACAAAATGCCGGAGCAAGGGGCTAGTAGAACCTTCTCCTGTAAATTACTATAATTTAAAAAAGAGAAAACTTTTTTTTTTGGGGGGGAGGGGGGCCACCCATGCCTCAGTGGGGATATGGCGGTTTGTTAAAGCAAGATGGAATAAGTGTACATTAATTATTTCATGTCATGTCTACTATGACTATCAACAGTCATGGGAAAGGCATAAGAGCTAGGCCTCCTCTCTCCTTCCACTACTTCAAAACATGCAATGTATGTACCTACCAAATCATGTGGCACTCCTAATGCCAAAAGAGATTTCCCAGAGTTACAAAAAAATGTGAACTAAAATAGTCAAGTGTATGTTCCTTCGTCTATTCACACATAAAATTGGTTTAATTTGCATGGCGATTTATTAAAACACATTCATTGTTGTACCAAACAGCCTTTCCTGTGTCCATCAGCCAACCTGCCCTTACCATGCTATCACAAGACTTCTGCCCAGGCTGAAACATGTAAGAAAACTTGTTTTGTTATATTACAGTGAGACCACCCCGCTTTTATGATCAATCCCAATGCGACCCAATTTAGTAAGTGTATTTATGTATGTGAGTTTGTACGTGTATGTTGGGGGTGCTGAAATGGACTAATCTAATTCACAATATTCCTTTATGGGAACAAATTCGTCAGTACTTTGGCATGAACATAACTTCCTCTGCGAATGAAATAATATAGTAAAACTTGGGGGTCCACTGTATCTGTATTATATCTATATTGTCTGTGATTTTAATAATCCACTGGCACACTACCATATTAGAACACAATTACGCAACGAAGAACCTCGTCGATGCAACCAAAAAGAGAAAATATTTTAGTGCTTAGTTAAAGTATATAAACTTCAGGGCCTGATTTAGTAATCATCAAAGTTAATTATATTTTTTAACCATTACATTACCATCAATTATATTCCTGACATTTTACAATGATTTCTTTCTGAACACCTTTTTTTATGACACAAGGCATCTCCTCACCAAGGTAGGGCAACCAAAACAGTGGACACATACATTCACCATTGCTTCATTCAATTGCTATTTTGCCAAACATGAACATATAGCACAGTTACAAGATACCCCATGGACTGAAACAGTCTCCAACATACTCTCGCAAACCTGTTGGATGTCCAAGCTCATAGCACTCAAAACTTCCTCTGCCGCCAATCTTTCAAGAAAAAGTATGTAACCACAAATCTCATCAGAGCTTGGTGAATGGCACGAGATGGTTACACTCATATCAACGTTTTGATCCAAGGAAAAGTGTAACTTTAATTTCTTAGATATCAAGAATCCCTTCACCAACATCAAGGCACATCACTTGAAAGGGAGTAGTTCATAGAGCACCATTAATTTCTACTTTCCTCCTCAAAAAGCTGTTATTCTTTTTAGTACATCACCTTTGCCGACCAAAGCAAGGCGACCAAAATGAAAACACATTCTATATTACTTGGTCCTTTAGCTTCTTTCCAGAACAATGCAGACATCTCAGGCCAATGATAACACAATCAAGTCCATAACAAACATGAGCTGTTGAAGTCTGACATTGTAATTCCAATTCTAAATCATTTTCACTGAATTCTGTAACAGTACTTTATCATTCCTTTTATAACCTGTTACACTGGGACACTACAAAAGCTTTAACTACAGTAAGACAGAAAAAAACTACTATTTTTTAACTTTAATTATCTGCAGAAATGCACACGCTATAAAGTAATTTTAGCGTTGCATGTGAATTGTGATTTTTTGGAGATATAGTTATGTAATACATAGTTAACTTTGACTAACCCCACTGCAT